CCCCCCCCTCCTGTCACACGCAGAGTTATTTTCACCCTCCCCATCGCCAAAGCGCCGAGCCCGGCCCCGAAGTCATTTCGAGGGAGTGTATTTATCCCCATCGCTTTAAAAAAATCTGCAATGCGGGATTTCCAGGACATCGGCGGAAGGGGAGGAGGAGGGGAGCTACCGCTTTAAGTTAAAAAAAGCACTGCATATAAAAACTGCATATCCACACATGGAAACATCCGACACTGGCGAAGCCTCCATGTAAACAGATCGCCCTCTAGGAAAAAAAAAAAAAAACAAAAAACACACCACCAAACCCCAAACCAAACCCGCTTTTTTCCAAGACAGGGAAATATGAACTGCTGCGTCACCGCCTGGAATCGCTTCTTTCCTACGCAACTGAACACCCCTAAGCTGCTCCGGGCCCGCGGGTTTCCATTACCGATAGACCTGATATGAAACCCCCACGTCAGAGGCGCGGCTCGTTACCGCCGGGCGCCAGCGAGGGGATCGGCGGCAGCTACGGGGAGGGCATCACCGGGAGGGGTGCGGGGGAGGGGGGTTTCTCTGGCCAAAGCCGGGCGGGCTGTGCCCGGGCGCGGGGGGAGGAGGGCACGTACCGTCGAAATCGGTATAGACGGTGTCCTTGAGGAGAGCCCACGAGCCGTCAGTTTCAGCTCTCCAGTCCTGAGGTCAACCAGCAGGTTCTCGTCCTTGATGTCCCGGTGCACCACGCCGCAGCCGTAGCAGTGGCGCACCGCCTCCAACACCTGCCGGAAGAACCCGCGGGCCGTCTCCTCGTCCAGGGCGCCCTTCTCCGTGATGAAGTCGAAAAGGTCCTTCACCAGCTCGGGCCGCTCCATGATGATCAGGTAACCGTCGGGCCGCTCGTACCAGTCCAGCAGCTTGATGACCCCTCTGAAGCCGGAGCCCACCTTCTTCAGGAGGACGATCTCCAGGGGCACCATGACACCGCTCTGAGAAGAGAAGGGGGTGCGGGTCAGCGGCGGGGGAG